CCTACAGATGTAGAAGCCCCATCCTTGGAGACACTCAAAATCAGGCTGGACGGGGCTCTGAGTACCTCATGGAGCTGTAGGTGTCCCTGTTCACTGCAGGAGAGTTGGACTAGGTGGCCTTTAAATGTCCCTTCCAACTCAATCAATTCTATAACTTTATAACTTTCTATAACTAAAAGAAGTTTTCACTTGATCTCTCAAACTGTGATCTTAAGAACCAGCTGTTTTTTTTATACTCTGTAATTTGTGGAAGAGAAAACTGAGACATAACTAGCTTGGTTATTTTATCGAGCACTTTATTTGAACTCATCAGGGCTGCAAGGGCCTCAAAGTCATCTTCCAGCATTCTCAGCTGGTTGAAAGTACAGTTGATGTCCATCAACTGGAGAACTGTAGGAAGGAACTGAGGAAGCATTTGTAGCTGACATCCCCACTGCAGTGTGATCAGTGTGATCTGCAAGGTTATCAGAACTGACCAGAGATATGTTTCGTACACTGTGTGTTTTGTTTTTTTTTTAAACTTAAATATTATTTCATCAGAGAATGTTGATTATTTGAAGTGGAAACTAAAGTACTGGCAGGAATGGCTAAGCTTTGCAGATTGGTCTGATTGAAAGACACTGACATTTCAAAAGTGATATTTTGAAACTGCCAAATGCCTTATGGAAAGAAAAAAGAAATAAAATGTTGATATTTTACTGATTTCTTTTTTTTCAAGCACTGTGACTGACCAGAATGATTTTTGTATATTTTCAGTTTGCTAGCCCTATCCAAGTTTCAACACTATTGGCAATAATAATGTGGTTTTTAAAAATAAAATAAAATTGAGAGTTGACGACAGCAGTCCAACTCTGGTTTCCAGCTCGTGCTCCAGTGGAACCTGGGACCCATCTCACCTCAATAGACCAGACAGAAGGGGCTGGAGGCACAGCAGGACTTTGTACAAGATATCTTATGTCAAACTTGAGAGGATAGGAGTAGGAACAGCATTTGGGCAGAGCTCAGGCTAAGCCTGCCATAGAAACATCCCCTTACTAACATCTTTTCTGACATCAGCCTTCCAAGAGTAAGATGTCTTGTCAAGCATCTGAAAAAGTTGTGCAAGCATTCACGACATTCCTAGGGAGATGTAAGAGTGGTGCCTGTGCTGCTCTTTTAAGATGTTTGTCTGTTTTGGCTTCAGGAGGGGTTCTTGTAAGACATCACTGGTGTTACGTGGAAGGAAATGCGATGGTGGGGCACCTGTGTGCTCTTTCCTCATGGCAAAAAATCCAAGAAAGTATGGCTAAGTTGAAATGAATTGATGGTTGGACTAGATGATCTTAGTGGTTTCTTCCAATCTTAATGATTCTATGATTCTGTGAGTTTATGAAATACTGTGGGAAGCAGAATTTGATTATTTTTGAAATATTGTTATTGCTTAGACCTGCCTCAAAAACCCCTGTGCTCCCATCACCAACGACAAGATTATTCTATGTTTTATAAAAGAAATTATGTAGCCAACTGTGTTTTCTAAACGTGCTTTCAAAGTCATCACAGGAAATAATCACGACAGGAAATAATGGAATTCTATAACTGTCATATTTCCAGAAAAAGCTGTGGGAAGAACCTTCTGAGTTATGGTTTGAATTCACTTTGATGTCTAGCACTGAGGGTAGGAAAAAAACAACAGTCTTCCAGCATTCAGCTCTACTGCTGTTGGGAACCACGTGCAGGATGGCAATGAGCCATACTGTCAGCTTGGAGCAGAAGAATCCAGGCTGGAGGAGAGGGCTTCTGGCTCCAACAGTGTGACCACTGACACATGAGACTTTAATTTCAAGGGAGGAACTGGAGCAAAAAACATTGCCAAATCTGGTTCCATAATGGTCTGCTATTTTGCTTGCTGTGCCTGGTGTCACAGTTCTGATCCTGGTTGAAACAAAAGCTGATGCTCCTTAGTTGAGAGCAAGATAGGGAGGTGATGGAGCTGAAGTAAGAACAGAGAAAAGTGGAGATCCTTGATGTGTTGGTGAGGATATTTCCTCCCTTCCTCTTCCCTGACTGAGAAGAAACAGTAAAGGTTTTTTTTTTTTTCTTTATTCTTTTCCCCAGTTATTATTATTATTATTTTAATGCAGTTCTGTATTCATGAATTGCAAAAACATCTTGACACGTGCACAAAGGCTTGCAGGTAGCATGTCCTCATGCTCCTCGAGGACTTCAGTGCTGGGTCTCTGTACCAGGACATCCCAGAACTGCCTGATGAAATGACTCGCAGGCTGCGGGAGGTAATTTGCTCTGGGAGCTGGGAGAAGAGCAATCCGTACAGCATCCTCGGAACAAAGCAACACAAAGAGAAACTATTGCAGAGATTAATTACTGCCCTGTAATCCTCCAGGCACGCATTGCTGCAGCACTGTGCCATGAGAGCCATAAGAATTCAGATGCTCTCTTATTCCCTTTGCCGTTCTCTGAAGTGAAGGGGAAGGTTGTTTTCTTTCAAAGATGATCACTTACCCTCTATTTACTGTGAAGGATGGGGACGGGGGACTGGGGCTCCCAAAGCTTTTCACAGTTGGTTTTGTTGCCTAATTATTCAGAGAAGAGCTCCTCCTGGCAGTGGGGCTGTGTCCTCTGCAGCCGAGCTGAGGGACTCCTGCCCTTGTAGAAGGTCTCTGGAAGCGATCTCTCTCGGTGGGATAACACTGCAGCCCTCAGGCCTGATTCACTTGGTTTGTTTATTTATTTTTAATGGATTCACATGATGGAAGAAGCACGTCTTTCGTATTGTCTTTTGAAGGCAGATAATTGTGTTGCTGTTGCATTCATAATCGGCTTGTCATGCCCAAATGAATTTACTTATATCTGTCTTTCCCCTAAAAAAACAGCCCTGCCGAGTTCTCCCAGTGGTTCCATCAGCCACAAAGCACTGTTGTTAAGCAAGTGCTGCTTTATGCTGTCTAAATAGACGTCACTCTTCTCTTGTTCCTGCTGTCAGGCATATTGTTAAATTGCTATGAATCTGCAGTGAGTTGAAACTCGCCATTCCAAGGAGAAAGAAGTTATTAATTGTAATTGGGGTTATTGGATAGCAGCACTTCTGACTCTTGAGCTGATGACTTATCATCACAACATATCCTTTCATTGTTTTAAAATATTCCCATCATCCTTTATGTATAGTGATTAAAAAAAAGAAATTGTTTAAATAGCAGTCTGCTTAAAACAACAGAAACACACTGAGCTTCACAGGCTGCCTCCTCAAGTTATGAATGATTAAATGTAAGCTTTGTCATTGTGCAAGATCCCTCTCAGGCTGAAAAAGAGCCCCACTGTGATGGGCTGGGTCAGAGATACACTGAAGTAACTGTTATCCTGCAACAGGTCTGACAGAACTTCAGAACAGATTTTCAGTTGGAGTCAAAATCAGTGTGGAAAACTGTTTCCAACTTGTTTGCTTCCACCCTCCTGAAATCAAGATGATTTTCAAGGCCAGCTTGGGTGGGACCCTGGGCAACCTGATCCACTGCTTCATCTAGTGGTTGGCAACCCTGCCACAGCAGGGGGTTGGAACTGAATGATCTGTGAGGTCCCTTCCAACCCAAGTAATTCTATAATTATATGATTCTCTGGAAAACTTTGTGGTACAGTTCAAAGCTCTTTTCTGACAGAGGAGAAGAGGCAAAACAACATGCAGAAAAGATGCTGGAGAACATTGCTTGCTGCACCCTATTGTAACCTTTCCCTCTTTCCTGCTTTTGCTTTGCAGGTTTCCAGTGGGACAACTTTTGTGACTGAGCAAAGAGAGGCATCATACTGCTGACAGACATCAGCTGCATTTAACTGATGACAAGATAAAGGTAGGAGCGGAGCTCAAGTGGGTCAAGCATAGAAGCTTATAAAGGTCGCATAGGAACCCAGGATGTTGAAAAAAATTTGGAAGGTAAATTTTGAAATGGACGGTTTCAAAGGTAAGAAACAGTCTTTGATCTTCAAAAGTTTATAAATGAGAGAATACTGTCTGTTGGACTCATCACATGTCAAACAAATGGAGTTTTGAAGTATCAAAACCCTGAAGAAGAGAAACAAAAAGGGACATTATTCAGATGGTCAGCCCAAATGACAGCATGGATGTCTCTGATAGTTTTAGTGGGCTTTGTACTATAGTTTTGTGCTATAATGTTACTGATGTAAAAAAAAAAACTTTTTGAATTTCTAGCTGAATTTATGAAAAGTGATGTTCAGGAAAAAAAAAAAAAACAACAACAAAAAAATGAACCTGCAATAAGAAGGGCTTCAGACTGTGCGAGTTTCTGAAAGCGTCACAGCCTACAGTTTTTTGGTAGGAGGAAGTAGTGAAAAACATTCTAAAATGCTTCTGTTGTGCTTTGTTTTTTTGTGTGTGTGGTTTTTTCGTGTTTTTTTTTTTTTTGTGTGTGTGTGGGGTGGTTTTTTTTTTTTACTTTTTACTAGTGCTCCTGCGTAAAATGTTTGATAAAGCATGCTCATGAGTCCTTGTGATGGCAACTGTGGGCAAGCAAGACTTAAGAGTTCTTAGCTGGGCCCTGCCATGGCCAGCCAATGTGTGGGGAAGATCTTCAGGCAAACACTCAATATGTAAATCTGTGCTCAGCTCTGCAGTGATTCTTACCTACTTGGTTCCCAATAGAGTGAAGCTAAAAGCTTAAAAACATCCCTGCAGTTTTGCACCTGAATTACTGAGCTGGAAGGGGTATATACATGAGCAATAAATGTATATTTTTTCCAGAGATGTTTTTTGGCTCATCAAAACTTTCTGAATTAATTTGTGTATTTGCTTATTTTAGTGAGCAGTACATGACTGGAGGATATATGTAGTCTGCATGCCTCTCCTTGTCTTACCATCAATTACAGCATTAGTTACCCATGTTTTCTATTTCTAAATACATCTGGAGTTTTGTTTTTAATTATTCATTGAGACAGAGGCTTATTTTTTACCAGAGTTTCCAAGTGTGCTCTTAGAGCTATTGGAACCAACATGTGACAGCCAGAGGAAAAAGTGGAGTGGACAATGGACTTGGAGATGTCAAGGCAGCCATATACAGTGAGGAGGTAAGATTCAGTGTTTTCTTCTATTGTGCCATCTCAGGGCATCCTGCTGGAGTTTTGTAAGACAATTGCTTTTTGTAAATGGGTTGTGACAAGCAATTAGACACTGCTCCACACATCTTAAGAAAGGAAGAACAGAATAATTGAAAACAGGGCTGGGAGAGCTCTCAGGAGGTCACCCAGTCCATCTCTTCACTCAGACAGGATTGGCTTCACACTAACCACTCCTGACATATGTTTGCCTCACATGTTTTCAAAAACCCCCACAGACAAAGGTCCCACAACCTCCCTAGGAAATGCTTTCAGGTCTTATCTCTGCCTAACATTAGAAATGTCTTTCCTACTGCCTTGCTTGTGTCCCTCTCGCTGCTGGTGTGACACCATTGCCTCTTGTCAGGGTCCCAGAGGGTTGGTTATTTCCTTTATTCTGCAGCTACAATTCCATCTGTTTGGAGACTGCTATCAGGATTCCTCACAGCTTTCTCCTTCCTAGACTAAACAAATCCCATCCTTTTAATCTTTCCTTATAATATATGGGGTTTAAACCTTTCCCTCATTTTTGTTGTTTTCCTCTGGACTCAAACTAACTGGTCTGTGTCTTTCCTGAAAGCATTGGCCTAAATTAGGCTGACTCAATTTCTGTGGCTGTGTTCTCTTATCCTAATATTTGTTGTGCAAGAGGTGCATTATCCATGGCAGCAAAGAGTTTCAGAAGCCTACAATGAAAGCCTTTGTTTAATGTCCCATCTTGGATCTAATGCCTGAATGAATCTGTCTGGACTAGAGGAGTATCAACGTCTTTGCCAATCTCTGGTAGCCTGAGGAGTGCTAAATTTTAAATATGGGAAAGAGGAGGTGAAAGGCAAATGTTAAAAATACATATTGGCTATAAATGCTTTCTACTCCTCTGTGCTGGCCTCCAACTGCCCATGTCGGCTGAAATATCTCAGGCAATGCAAATGTTTGTGCATGAGAGCAGGTCAGGAGAGCTGGCTATGATTAAGCTTCAGTTAACTGTGATGCAGAATTTGTGGCATGTTCTCGTGGGAGTTGGTCATAGGGATCTTCCCTGCCTGAAAGAAATCTGACATTTTTGGCTTATATTATGCTACCTTAGTCTTGAAACCTTCATTGATGTCAGTGTCAAAATGCATCTTAGGGATCAAGGTTATGGTGTTGGAAATGGGTTTCCCTTCCCAAAACAGATGAAGGGCTATATAACTTTACCAGTTACATATGTCTCATTAACACTTCCAAAGCCCTTTGGATTAGGCATGATCATGATCTGTCATGGAGGGAAAATACATCAGCTGAGATATTGATTTTAGGAATTTAGGTTTGACTTTAGGAATTTGGTCCTTTATTAATTGGAGAAAAAAAAAAAATAATGATCTTGCCAAGGAGAAATTAATATTATAATTCATCTAAGAAATCAGTAAGTGTTTTGTGTGTCAAAAAAGATAGATTTCCCAACTAGTCAGATTCAGAACTCCCACTGAGATAACCAAGGGGAAAAACCAGAGTTTCCTTGAGAAACTGGGAGGGAGAGGAAGGGATGGCTCCAGTATGATGTGACTCCCTTTGTGTCAGGGTTGTTGTTGGCTATCCTCTCCAACAGCAATGTTATCTGGGAGATAGGGCTCCCTTCAAAACAAACAATTATAATTGACTTCAGCAACATTCATACATTTTTTTCCCAGAGCTGGGAACTGGGTTGTCACTGCAGCTTGTGCTGGGTATCTGCAAAATAAAATGAAGGCAAATAGCTTTGTTTTGAATATGTGAGGTTAGAGTTATTGCTACCTCTCTTGGTTTGGGATTTCTGCATCTGACAGATTGCAGTCTTTTAAGAGAGTGGAGTTTTTTTGTTTTGTGCCATGTAGTGTAGTACCACATGAAGCAAGAGAAAGAAAAGGAGACTGGCTAATACTGGCATTGTTCTGGTGTTTTCTCAAGCAGCAGAGCAGCAAATAGTTTTCCTTGGCTTTCTGGAAAATATCTGACCTTGATACTTCATATTCAATTTATGTAAACAATTACAAAAGAATCTGAGCCAAATAGAAAAGGCTATTTCTTGAAAACCTGCAGGGAATGCACATGGGAATTTCCCACATGCTGTAGCAATCTTAAAAGTACCTCCATGTAACCCCACAATATTAATGATTAACTCCAGAACTGTGAGTTTTTCCATACCTCCAGTGAGCTTGATGGTATGTGTGTTCAGTTGTACACTGTATTGGTGAGGGGTAGTAAAATACATATATATATATAATTTCCCACTTCAGTAACTTGCATTTAACAAACTGTCTGCTACATTTCCCCCTTGAAATCCAGGGATTTCTGTGAATTGCACAGTTGATAGATATCACAATAAGGGAAATATTTTGTGGCTAAGCTGTTTGCTAAGATACTCTTGCAAGAACGAGCTGGAAGCAGTTTTGTTCTTCTGAAATTACTCAAAGATAGACATACTTTGCTCAGGGCACTCACCCACACAGAGCAGCACGGACTTTCACAGATAAGTTGAACATTGTCGATATCATGTTTATATAAGTTCGTTATTGGTGTTAGCTTTGTGATTGGTTTCCCTTACATGTGCTGAAGAAAACAGAAGCAGCCAGAATGCACTTTGAAAGGTGCTTTCCCAGAGCAAGCAGAGCTTCTTGTGCAGGGAGATTCTCATCACGGTTCATCTGTTCAGCTGTTGATGCTGTGGGCAGCACTTCTGAAAACGGTCTGTGGGTGCAAGCTGTCAAACGAAGATTTCAAAAGGTGCTGAATGCCAACCCCTTGCTTTTCTAAACCAAAAGCCTTTCCCATAGCAATCAGGAATAGTCCACCTTTTTGGTCATTTTTCTGTATCTATTCCACTTTTGTTTAATTTAGCAGTATGGTCCATCAGTCGTTTCACTGTGATGCTTGGTGCAGTGTTAATACTTTTATTGTTAAAATTTCTGGAGCATGACTTTTTAATTAATTCAGATTGAGAGACTTGAGCAACACTATCATGGGTATCAAGTCAGGACTCATTTTCACAAGGCTACAAAGTGCCAGAAAGAAATTGTTTTTAAGTACCTTATGAACCAGCACACCTCCATTTTGGAGCATTTTTAATATCATTATATATAGAACCATTGAATCCTTAGAGTTGGAAGGAACATTTTAAGGTCATCTAGTCCAACTCCCCTGCAATGAATAGGGACATCACAGCTAGATCAGGTTGCCCAGGTCCGATCCAGCTTCACCTTGAAAGTCTCCAGGGATGGGGCATCCACCACATCTCTGGGCAACCTGTTCCAGTGCCTCACCACTCTCACTGTAAAAGACCTTTTCCTTATATCCAACCTAAATCTAACTTCTTTGAGCTTGAAAACATTTTCCCTTGTCCTGTCAGAACAGACCACGCTGAAGAGTCCATCCCCTTTTTTCCTGTAGCTCTTCTTTAGATAGTGAAAGGCTGCTACCAGATCACTTTGGAGTCTTCTCCAGGATGAACAGCCCCAGCTCTCTCAGTCTGTCCTCACAGGAGAGGTTTTCCATCCTTTGGATCATTTTTGTGGCCCTCATCTGGATGCACTCCAACAGGTCTATATCTCTCCTGTACTGAGGACTCTGCGTCTAGATGCAGTACTCCAGGTGAGGCCCCACCAGCCCAGAGTAGAGGGGCAGGATCACCTCCTTTGATGTGGTCATGCATCTTCTGTTGCAGTCTGGGATACTCTTGGCTTTCTGGACTGTGAGGACACATTGTTAGCTCACGTCCAGCTTCCCACCCACCAGTAACCCCACGTCCTTTTCAGCAGAGCTGTACTCATTCCTTTCATCCCCAGCTTGTACTGATAGTGGATGTTGCCTTCACCCAAGTGCAAGACCTTACACTTGAATTTGTTGAACCTCATGAGGTTCTCCTTGGCCCACTGCTCAAGCCTGTCTGGGTCCCTCTGAATGGCATCTCATTCCTCCAGTGTGTTAACCACACCCCACCACAGAATCATTTGAGTTGGAATGGACTTTTAAAGTTCATCTTGTCCAACACCCTTAAAATGAACAGGGTCATTTACATCTATGCCATCAGTTATATATAGATAATTTAATCTTTTGGTAGATAGATAGACAAATATTCATTTGTTTATATAGTGACTAATGTGGATTTTTTTTAGCTTGACATAAATCTCTTCTTACTAGGGGGATGATCCTAGCATCCCACTGACACAGTCACACACACCTGACTATCAGTCCACTTGAGCTGTTGATGCAGTGGATGCCAGGGACTTCTGACTGCAGTAAGAAAGGTTAAATATCTCCTCAAATTGGACTGGGGATGTAAGCAAGTGGAAGTAGAAGATGCTGAAGCAAAAATAAACAAATAAATAAATAAATAGATATTAAGCTTTAACTGCACAAAAAAGCAGAACCTATTTTTCCTTTTACTGAATCTCCCTCCTTTGAGGGGTTTCCTCCTTGAGGATCTCTAAAAATCAGTTGAATCTTTGAATTCTCTTCCAACCCAAGACCCCACCATGATTCCAACCCCACCGCAGTAAGCACGGTTGCCAACCACTAAGTCAGGCACAGATCAGGCTGCCCAGGGCCCCATCCATCCTCGCCTTGAACACCTCCAGGAATGGGACATCCACAGCTTCTCTGGGCAGCCTGCACCAGGACCTCACTGCCCTCTGAGTGAAAAATTTCCACCTGATATCTAATCTAAATCTCCTCTCTATGCCTCTGTTGTGGGTATAATTCCCTGTTCAGCGTCTGTGTGCATGCACTCAACTACATATATGTATGTGTATTAAGTTTTTCTGTGCCTAAAATGCAGAGGATGTGGCTTTGTTTTTACCCTGCTATGAAATTTATCTTTCTGTTGGGCTGTAGGGGCTCACATGTTCAGCTTGAAATGAGACTTGTTCTCAAGTTAGATATTGGCTATATTTTTTGTGGGGTTTGGTTTAGGCTTCAGACTGTGCTAGAGTACGTGTGGTTAGGACATCTTGCCTCTG